TGCTCTGAGAAGCATGCTGTCAAGAATGGAAAGACAAGCCACAGAGCAGAAGAAAATACTGGTAAATCACATATCTGACAAAGGACTTATGTCCAGAATATATAAAGAGCTCTCAAAAAATCAATAGGAAAACAAATGGCTTAAAAAAAAAAAGATGGGCAAATGATCTGAACACATGCTTCACCAAAGGAGGAATACAGATGGCGTTAAGCCCATGTGAAGATGCTCAACAGTTTCAATTAGTCATTGGAGAAATGCAAATTAAAACTATCCTGAGATACCTTTACGCACCTATGGAAATGGCTAAAACAGAAGAAATCCAAGCTGACACACTGTTGGCAAGGATGCTGAGCTTCTCACTCATTGCTGGGGTTGGGGGGCGGGGAACGCAAAAATGGTACAACGTCTTTAAAGAGCAGTTTCTCAGTTTCGTATGAAGTGAAACATACGCCCACCACATGAGCCAATGATCAATCCTGCTCCAATTTACCCGAGAGAATTGAAAACTTATGTTTAGGAGAACACGAGTATGCAAATGTTTATAGCAGCTTTGTTCATGATTTTTGGAGACCAGAAACAAGCCACATGCTCTTCGGCAGGTGAAGGAATAAAGAAGCGGGTCCATCCGTGCCATGGAATAGGACTCAGCTTGTCTACAGATAGACAGGCCATGCTGCTGCTGAATCTTATCGTATTGTGTTAAGTGGAAGAAGCCAGGCCGACAAGCTGACGCACGGCACGATCCGTTAGGATGGCTTTCTGGAAAAGGCAAAACGATAGGGACAGAGAAGGGACTCGTGGTTACTGAGTGGGGTGGGGGTGACTCCAAAGAGGCAACAGGGGCAAGTTTTGGGGGGTGATAGAGTTATTCTCTGCCTTGATTGTGTTTACATGATTTTATGCATTTGTCAAGAGACACAGAACCTTTAACCAGAAAGAGTACATTTTATTGTATATAAATTTAAAAATAAATGTAAAAACATGAAGAGGCTTTGAAGTGTGCTTATCCTCAGAGCAGGAGTTAAAGCTCACTTAGCACTGTTGTGTGGGGGCCCCCATGGTGGAATGGAGCCCCCGAGGCTCGTGGAAGCTGAACTCAGCTGGCGGTCCGTGGTCATGATCCTATCACCACTATCGCCTGTCACACTCACAGTCCGTCCCTGGTGCTAATGGCCTGGCTGCAGGCAGAAGTCTGCAGCACCCACACGGCAGTCCCAGTGCACTGCCTGTGTCTCCTGTGCTGGACACTGGGCAGGAGGCAGGGGCTGGGAGACCATGAATTAGGCTAAGAAGAGGGTGACCTAACCCTCACCTCTTCTGGAAGCTTTCTTTCTTTGTTTTTTTGTTTATTTAAGATTTTATTTATTTAGAGAGCAGGAGGAGAAGCAGAGGGAGAGAGAGAATCCCAAGCAGATTCTGCACTGAGCTTGGAGCCCAATGCAGGGCTTGATCCCAGGACCCAGAGATCATGACCTGAGCTGAAATCAAGAGCCAGTGGCTTACCCGACTGCTCCCTGCAGGCACCCCAGGGCTTGCTTTCATTCCATAGACACAATTGCTCATTCTGGATATCCTTGGGATCCTACCTCATCCCCTCCACGTGTTGTGGGAGGCAGAGCAACGTGATGCTAACTGCATAGGTTGTAGTGTCAGGGAGGTCTTGGTTTGGAGCCGGTGCCAGAGCAGCAATTTTGGGCAAGGACTTGAACTACTTTTGGGTTCAGCTTCTCAACCTGTAAGACGGGGACGATAATAGTACCGACGTCACGGGGTGGCCGAGGATTACAGAATCCAAAGTGTGTTCCTGAAGCCCAGTACCCAGTGTGGTGAGCATGTAATAAACCCACACGGTGCTCACTACACGTGCGTCAGGTGAAGTGGTGCGTGCAGGAGTGAGTGGTCCCGGGGGTGGGGATGCCGAAGCCCCTGTCCTCATTGTGCACATGGCCAGCCCCATACATTCTGTCTCCTGGAGCTCACAGGCTGAAGATGCACTCAGGGCTCACGGTCTCCTTGCACCTTCCTCCAGGCCAAGCCCCGAGACGGTGGTGGTTGCCTGGCTCTCGGACACACTCAGCAGCTCTTGGTCCCCAGGGAAGCTTCCCCTGCTTCACACACCATCAGCCCAGACTGACCTCCCAGCCCTTGCACAGGGGCCTGGCTTGGGTCAGGACAGGATAGAACCTGGAGTGTCAAGGCCGTAGCTCAGGGGATGACTTCTTTCCTCCTGGGCTCCCTGGCTCACCAATACTTGTGGGTTCAAAAGCTATCCAGGGACCGACTTTCAGTTCCTGAACTACATATAGTGAATTGTCTTATAATTGGCTAACGACAGGCTGGAGGTTAGCCAATGCCAGCCTCGTGGGAGCAAGCAAGGGTGCACTTTGGGCTCTGCCCTGGGTTCTGCTCCATTTGCACCTGTGTTAGGGTAAACGTGGATGTGTCCATTGAGGACATTGGGACTTGTGGTTGGGAGATAGGTCATATCTCAGCACACTGGACTGATGGACCAAACCATCAGGAATTAAAATGGATAAAGGTCAGTTCTTGCTCTCAGGCCTTCACATCCAACAATGTGCATGTGGAGTTTAATGAGCACATGAGAAAACCTGGGGCTTTTAGGCAATGCAAGGCCAGTACGAAGCAGGGAGTGTGATGCGGAAACAAAAAAGCTAATGCTATCAGGTTGCATTAACAGAGACATAGGTTACAGAACAGAGGAGGTGATACTTTGATCCTCTGTGCTAGGCTGACCTCATTGTGAATATGGTGTTTACTTTTGACAGTCACATTTTAGTGTGGATGTTTACAACCTGTAAGTTCGGGAGAGGGCAATCAGAATGATGAGGCAACTCAGTGCCAGTTTATATAAAGGTTGGAGAGAGTTGGCTTAAGGAACAAAGATCTGCCAAGGTCAGGGTAGCCGGCAGTACTTAAGGGGATCCTTGTGGAAGAGTGATTATGACCTATTCTCTGTGCCTCCAAAGCAGTGCTATGTAAGGAATTTCGGGTGATGATGGAAATTGTTTATGTCTGTGCCATTTAATAGCTACCAGACAGATGTGGTTTTTGAGCAAATAAAATGTGGGAACTGAATTTTTAATTTAACTAATTAAAATGAAATTTTAAATGGCTTAATGTGGCTATGTTATTGGACAGTGAAGCTTTAGAGGGAAAATAAGAGAGTAGATGAGGGGCTGGTGAATTTTTTTCTGTAAAGGGCAAGACAGTAACTGTTTTGGGTTTTGTTGGGTATATGGTGTCTGTGGCAACAGCTGGACTCTGCCGTGGTAGCGTGAAAGCATGCACCGCAGAGGAAAGAATGAATGTGTCTGTGTTCTAATAAAACTTTACTTATGGAAACTGAAATCTGAGTACAATTTTTACATGTCACAAAATAGTCTTCTTTTGATTTTTTCAACCACTTTCAAAGCATAAGAACTCATCGCTCACAGGTTGTAAAAAAAATGGGTGGCAGGCAGGATGTGGCCTGTGGAGTTGCTGACTCTGGCCTAGAACGTGGGTGGGAGCCCCAGGGAGTCCTGTGTAAGTACAAGCAGGGAAGATGGTATTGATTAGAGGCGGCTGGGAACAGCCCGGGCGCCGTGGCTAGGAGGCCAGTTCCTGTCCTGAATTCAAGTACAGGCCGGGGAGTTAACGAGCTGGCAGGGAATGAGGCAGATGTGTCTAGTTAATGCAGCTTATACTAGAATTTCTCCGGATTCTGTAGGAGTTTTGAAATCAGGATGGTGTGTGACTGCTTTACAATTATACCTGCTTTGTGCAGGGAAGTAAGCTGTTCCCCCACATGGTACTTCCTCGGATCCCGTGTTGCTGGGATGGCAGCAGCTGGGGTGGCCGCCCCCATCACTGCTACTTCCTCGGAGGCACACCCCGAGGAAGCTGGTTACCGCCATCCGTGTGCAGCCCAGGGGAGAGGTGGCTGGGAGCCCCGGCCTCCACGGCGTAAGGGAGGACCCTCCCCGCCCGAATACCCCTGCTCTGCCATCGGGTCCCCTTCTAGACAAGGTGGCCAGGCTCGGAAAGCTTCGCCACCAGCTAGTCCTTTCCTTGGGTGTGCCTGGAGAAGGCTGCCTTCTGCATCCTCCCCCCAGACGGGGGGACCGGTGCTCTCTGGCGGGCTGTGGGACCCATCTGTGAAGATGTGACTGCTTGGGAGCTGGTTGTGCAGCCCGTGGACCGCTGGCGCTCAGGGCCTCTCCGTGACCATCAATTCGGCTTTCTTGCTTTTCTCTCCTCCCTTTGTCCTGACCTCTGTCTCATGTCCAATCAGCATCTCTGCCAAAATAAACAGAAACAGAAAACAGAGAGCTTCTTCCTGTAAGGAGAGAGGAGGGAAGCCCTGGCTCGAGGTTTGAATTTTTGTGTCTATATCCACACCTCAGCCTGCTGTCACCGTAATAGACTTTTCTCCATGTCTTTGTAAATAAAGCACAGGAAGCTTATGAAGCTTTGAGGGGCCTTAAAAACAATTGAGAGAACTACCTTCAGCCTACAGCATTGTAAGTCTCCGTGTAGAGTGTATCAATGCAACACGGAGCTGCAGTATCGTTCCCATGGGAGCATTCGCCGCCCTCCGTCCCGGCACACGGCTAGCCTTGCTTCCACTGTCAGGAGCAGGTGAGAGCTTGTCTCAGCCAGTTTCATGTTGAGAGGACAGCTTCCTCGTCTGTACGCGTGGGGCTGTGTATCAGGTCTGTAGGCCTGACCTGTCCGCTCGGGGCGAGCATGTACCCTTACACCATCTCTTGCCCGTTGCCTATTTTGGGGAGTTTTAGGCATACACAGAAGTCAGGGGAGTACAGTCAGCCCCAAGTGTCCATCACCGGCTCTGACAAAAGCCAGTTCCTGGCCGGTCTTGAATCATTCATACCTTCTCCCTGCCTCCCGTACTTTGAAGCAAATCCACGGGAAGCTTCTGACACGGCACATCAACTCACTCTTGCACTAACATCTCTGCTCTGCACATTCCGTTTCAGATCATTGCCTTCGACGAGTTAAGGACGGATTTTAAGAGCCCCATAGACCAGTGTAACCCTGTTCACGCGGTGAGTAGTGGGTGCTGGCGGTGGGCGGGGTGGCATCAGGGCAGGCTGCCAGGGCCTGGGGAGGAAGGACGTTCAGGTGGGGGGTGGATAGAGTGCCTCCCCTCCTGGCTCAGGTCAAGGGCACCTCTCACACCTGAAGTCTGCCCAGGTCCCAACATATCTCGCAAGTCAGAATGACGATCCCAAGAACCCAGGTGGGAAAGGTCTACTGTGCGGGGCTGTAGTCTTCAAGGCCCCATGCTGGTGGTTTTTGGTTATTCATCCCTGAATAAGGAGAGAGGCTCCATGCTGGCCAACATGCTGGCAGAGCTTGGGAGGCTCATCAGAGGTGGTTCACGCTCTGTGCTTGCCCAGGTCTCCCAGAGGCAGACATGCAGAGTGGGTGGACGTATAGAGCCCCTGGCCACCCATCCACCACCCAGGGGGTCACTCATCTTCAGAGGCTCCGTCTGTGGGCCTGAGGTCAGCTCGCCGCCCACTGGGGAATCTGATGCGGTCTGGTCATCTGATCCAGGCTCAGCACGTGCTGTTCTACATCTTTCCGTTCTGTCTTGCGGGTCAGTCATGCATGCTGCCACTGCCATGTGCTCTGGAGTGGATATGGAAAGCGGGCTTGGTGCAGAGAGCAGAGGAGGACCCTACTTCCAATGAATGGTGTGGGTGCTGGCCATCTGCTTCTCTGGTCAGTGCAGCCGACTTCCCAGAGCCAAGGACCAACCACGCACGTGGACAGAGCCTCATCCACACTCACTGTGGACCAGCCCCACTGGGCTCAAGGGATGGAACACACACCGTTCAGGTGTGTTTCTCAGCCTAAACTCTGGGGGTCTGTGCACCCCTGAAGTTCTTTCCAGGCCCCAGTTTCCAGCACAAAGCCAGGTTTTTGTTTGGATATCTCTGTGGATATTTTCTGTTAGAGGTTGTAGACTGAACGGCAGGATTTACTGTGTGAATCCATCTGAACCTGGAAGGCTCATGGTGTCACTCTTCAGTGACAGGGACCAGAGAGACCTGTCCTCCTCGAAGGAAGATATGCTCCCTGGAGGTACCAGAAGACCAGGGGACCAGGCCTCCGGGTCACCTCTGTAAGGGACATGGTTTTTACTGGAGTCTAAGTTTTTGTGAGTTTTTACTGCACGTGAGGAACTGTGTATATGTGTAACCTATAATTCTCACAAGTCAGCCAGGATGGCATCATTGCCGCACACACAGACTGGTAGGCGAGAGCCCGTAGCGCATGGCGGGAGGTTAGCACTGCCTGTCTGCCTGTCTCGGGAGCCCGTGCTCCTACCATGTACTCCAGGTGGTCTCTTTTCAGAGAGCTGATTTTCTAATCCTTTTGGCATCAGATTCTTTGGTTCTATGAAACAGAATGAAACCCTTTCAAAGTCAACAGTGTGGAGTAGAATTTTGTCGCAAGATGCAAGAATTCCTAAGATGCACTTGAAAATTTCTGAAGTTTTGTGAAACTTGCTTGCGTTGAAATGCATTTTGTTTGCATCTGCCGATCTCACCACTACCTGTGATAACTTAGCTCCGTCAGACCTGAAAGGGCTATCTCCGGGTCTCGTTTCTCTCTGGATGTTTCGTGTTTGGCACTGGCATCACCGCCTGGTCCACAGAGCTGCTCTAGTCCTGCTGTTCCTCCTCCTAGCTCACTGGAAACCCCCAGGGCTTTCTTGAATCACCCCCGGGTGCGTGCTGCTGCAGAAATGTGTCCTCCACTCCGTCCTGTCCTGCCAATTCCACCCAGGTGACTGGCGAAAACTTGAGACTGCCTCATGGAGCCACTTCCATCTGGCTACGTCAAGTTCTTAGTCCAGATGGAGCAAAGAAGATAGGATAGGCCATGTGCCATGGCAGCACCAGTACGGAGCCTACACACAGTGGGTGCTCAACTATTGTTGATGAGAGGGAGAAAGCATACTGCAGAATGAGGTGTAGGGTGGAACTGGGTCTCAGCTCTTCACTCTTGTCACTAAAGCTATGCTTTAGACGCTTTTAGATGATTTAATTAAGGAGCCTGGGCCCTGCCAGCCAGATATTTCTTGGATAGACTGACGCCCCTCTGGAAAGGACTCTTGTCTGAGATTAAAAAAAAAATGCATTAAACCCCCCATGGAAAAGTATTAAACATATTTTCTTGGTTCTTATGATTTATTCTCTGGCAGGAAGTTAAGTGCTTTGGATGCCTCATTAACTCCCATTCGAGCTCTTTCAGCCTCCGTAGAGCCCTGGAGCAGGGTCTCTGCCTCGGGTGGCTCGGAGAAGCCACCACACCCATTGGTGACACCAGCCCTGGTGGACTTAGCTTACAAACAGTTGCTCTAGGAGTGGGCTGAGGCTCACTGGTTCTCAGGATCGAATGTCCCCTAGAGCTCTATGTCTTGCAGGGCCCTCGGGATAGACCTCCTTCCAGGGGGTGGACAGGGCAGGAGGGTTCTTGTTTTCCTCTCAGCTTCTCATTTCCCTTCCTTTTACCAGAGGGGCCCTCGGTATCACCAAAGGAGGAGCCACCAGAGGCCCAGCTTGCGGGGAAGGAGCTGGTGTGGCCCTGTACCAGCTTTTCTATGTCTGGCACCTCACCCCTTGCCCCTTATTCCTCATGTAGGCAGCCTTGATGCCCAGCTGTGTGCGGGGTGTGTGTGTGTACATGCTCGTGTGAGCACGCACACATGTGTGTTCTGGAGGACATGGTCTGTCTCCCTAGCCACGTGGACACTAATTTGTCCTGAGGTGGGCTCTTTCTTCTGGGCTTGAAAGACACACAGCAGTCACTGTATGATTTGATTAGAGAAACTGAAGTGGCAGAGCCACCTGTCTCCCCCAGAGCAAGTTCATTAACATCACATCCGTGGTCACCAGATTCATAGTGGCTGCCTCCTAATGAAGCACCAACAGACGCCGCAGCTGCACTCAGAGGGGCTTTGGAAAACAAGAAGCTCACCACACGAAAGGGAAGGCTGCACACAGTCTGTGATGTGACCATCATCACCCCGCCACCCTGCCGCTGGCCATGGGCACCCGTCCCAGTCGTGGGCCAGGCTCCGGGAATGGATTTTGATGTCTTGAAAAGTCTTAGCCTGGGAGCGCTGCTGGTGTCTAATTTAGTGGGATGACTGCTTCCTCTAAATGCACTCACTTTAGAAAAATAAAATCAACGGGCAGAGAACTTCATAGCTTAGACACCAATCAGGGCACATGTGCTCTGGAGCCCGGGTGGAAGTCCTCCCGGGAGGACTCTAGGCTCCAGAGGTCCCTAGTGCTCGACTGTCTTACAGTGGGAAGTTTGTACCTTTGAGCCCCGGTGTCCAGTTCCCTCTGCTCTGCTGCCTGTCTCTCTGGTAACCACACACAGGATCTCCTTTTCTAGGAGTTTGTTTTGTTGTTTTGCGTGATCTCACATATAAGTGACATTGTATGGTATTTGTCTTTCTCTGTCTGGTTTATATCACTGAGCATAGCACCATCAAGGTCCATCCATGTTGTCGCAGATGGTAGGATTTGCTTCTTTTTTTATGGCTGAGTAATGTTCCAGTGTGTGTGTGTGTCATGACTGTATAATAGTATATCATATGGATATAGTGTATGTATATGCACATGTGTGTATATACATATTTTCTTTTTCCACTTACACCCACGACACTCAGGTTGCTTCTGTGTCATGACTGTGATAAATAATGCTTCAGTGAACACAGAGGGACAGATAACGTTTTCTAGGCAGCGATTTCGTTCCCTTCAAATAGGTACCCAGAGTAGAATTGCTGTGGCTATTACAGTAGTTTTATTTTTAACTTTTTGAGGAGCCTCCCTAATGTTTTCCTAGTGGCTGCACTAATTTACATTCCCACCAACAGTGCACAAGAAAAAGGACCAGAGTCCTTTTTCTCCTCGTCTGCACCAGCACCTGCTGTCTCTTATCTTTTTAGTAACAGCCGTTCTGACAGCTGTGAGGTGCTATCTCAATGTGGTTTTGATTTGCATTTCCCTGATGAAGAGTGATGAGCACCTTTTCATGTTCCCCCGGCTATCTCTGTGTCTTCTTCAGAAAAAATATCTATTCACAGCCTCTGCCCATTGTATTTGGATTATTTGGGGTTTTTTGCTGTTGAGTTCTATAAGCAAAAACTCTCATTAGGAGCCGCCGGGTGGGAGCATGCAGGTCCCTGGTGGGTTCTGACTCCTCTCCTGGGGGCTGGATCACGGGGGGCTTCTCGTGTTCTTTCAGCAGAGCATCTAACCCCCCTCTTTCTTTCTTGTGTGTCCCAATAGAGGGAGCGGCTGAGGAACATTGAGCGCATCTGCTTCCTCCTGAGAAAGGTCAGTGCGGCCCCATGCTCGAGAGTGGACGGTCACATGGCCATGGTCGGTCACGCAGGGGAAGGGGCTGGCGGGGCTCAGTGCTCAGTACTGTCTCCCCAGAAAGGCAAATGGCAGGGGAGGGGGAGGGGGAGCAAGTGAGCAGTTTGCTGGAAACCTCGAGATAAAAGGCACTAATTAGAATGGGTGGCCATCAATCAAAGCATCAGGGCAACACTGGGTATTTGCAGGTGCCCTCTGGCTGGACTTAAAGGTTCTTTATCTTTGTGTGATGATGGATGGCATTTCCAGCCCCTGTGACCTCACAGCTTTTGTTCCTGTCTGGTGCTCGGCTCAGAAACACTCCTGCTCAACTCAGGGAAGTTTTTAACTAGATGCTGGTTTTCCTTTGAGGTTTCAGCTTGCCACTCAGCTTTGTAGTTTGATTGGCAGCACCACTGGGAGTGTTTTAGGGGCAGGATGGGAAATGCTTTGAAAGGGGGAGCCAAGCATTGAGAGAGTTGTTCTGAATGGATGCTGCCCTCAGTGCATCTGGGAAGCGCACGTGTGCATGCACATTCATGTGTGCACGAACAGCACAAGCTTGGTATTTAGCACAATTCTGTGGCATAGCCAGGGAACTCCAGTGGCAGAGGGACTGCATTCTCCACCAGGACAGCGCGTGCTTTTTGCAGTAAAATGTATGGAACAGCAACTGGCAGGTAGAGTGAGCAGTGGCCATAGCCTTGAGCCAAAGGACGGCCCCACTTTCTGTCCAGAGCACATGGGCCACAGGACATAGGGAGCCACCTGTCAACCCAGAAGGACTTTTTGAGCCTTATGTGAGTAGGAGAGAAACAACCACTATACCAGCATTGACAGAAGGGAAACAATTGTGCAAGCGTCTCAATTTCTGTGTATATTTCCATAATGATACCTTTCACTGGAGGAGAAGGCTGAATCAAGAAGTTGACTATTTTTCTAGCTCCTGACTCGTCCTTTAATGTCTTCCAAGACCCTTGGTAGGTGAGAGCTCCACATGTTGTATGTCACAGCAGGGAAGTATGGTAAGACAAGGAAAATGCATATGAAAGTATTAGTGACCCAGAGAGTAAAGAGTGATTTAAGAAAACACATGGCATTTGGTATTAAGGGCAATTCATGAATTTGTCAATTATTTTCCCATATAATGTGTTGGACACATCAATAGCCCCTTCAGCTGTCATTTTCTGGCTCTGACACCTACTCTCTGCCATCCTGAACATACCACCCAGATTCCCCACCAAGACAATAATCCACATCCATCACGTGGGTCTTACCCTTCTGCACTGCTTGACCACTGACTCTGGCCAGACAGTGGGCAGTGGCCAGTGGCCGCCTCTGCTGGGATCCTACCTTATAACCCAGAGGTCAAAGCCAAGGCCATGAAAGAATACAGGCTGTGCAAGAATTAGCATTACCATTTGCAAAATTGCATATAGTTTGCATAAGTTTGCATAAACAGTAGATGGAGGCATTTTGCTCCAGGAAACATACTTCAAGTACCTTTTTCTGTGTCCTTTTCATTTGGTCTCCCCCGCCCCACCCCACTCTGTGGTCTCTGCTGCTCCTGTGAGCACAGATGCTATTCATCTTCAGTGGGAAACACCAGGAATGGTGGTCCAGGGTAGGTATTGGAGGCCAGGAAATACGGACTATGAGTTTTTAGGTGTTATAGCCTAATGGTCACTTGTCTTGCAGCCTAATGGTCTTCGGCTCCATGAGCAGTTGCACAAGGGCCTAGCTTGGAATGTGTGTATTTACTACATTTACTACTTCTATGAGATTTGTAAAATCACGTGTAACCCTGTATTATGTTGACCATCGACTTAGCAGGTCCCTAACTGAGGCTTCTCCTACCCTAACCCTTGGTGTGCGTCTGTGTCCGCTGCCCTCCTTGGGGTCTGCTCCCTGCCAGTTCTGGACCCTTCCACGAGAGAGGTGGTGGCGCACACAGGCTTCTGCTGCCTAGATGCTGCTCCTGCCCTGATTATTGTGTGGCCCTGGGTGTGACACTTAACTTGAGAGTGGTGAGAATGCACAGCTGCCGTGATATTCAGCGAGAGGATGCACGTGTGTGCAGCTCAGAGCAGCTCAGCACGGTACACGCTGCTGCTCGTGTCCTGGCCCTCAGGGGCTGCTGGCAGTTCTGGGGTGACAATCCCACACACACTCGGTGCCGAGGCAGGTGAGGCGGCTGGTGGCCTGCCCCCAGCTGCTCCCCTGTCTCTCTTGCTCTGGTTCTCCTGCTAAGTCCGAGCCGGTTGCAGGGATGTGCGGACGGTTCGTGGGTCTGTTAGCGCCACCACCTTCTGGGAACTGTACCTTCCAAGAAATTTCTTGGAACTTGTCCCCTAAACACCCAGAATGTGCTGTATCTCCGCTGATGATTGTTGTTAAACCACCTCCTCAGCTTTCTCGGGAGGAAGGAAGGGATTTTCAAAGTGGATCCATTTTTAGCTCTCTAATTATCAGAAAATGTGTTCTTTGGCTAATTTTCTGAACTGTAGGATTCTGATGTTGACATGTTGCATGTGATTCATTTTCCGTGGCAAGAGCCACTTCATGTGCTGCTCTCCTGCTGGAGCAGGATGTGGGCCCCATGGGTCACTGGCCCTGCGGGTCACTGTGGAGGATGGTCAGGGGCCCCTGAGAGGAGATGGACCTGATGAGGGGCCCTGACTGCATCCCGGACTTTAGGAAATTGTTGGAGAAGAGGAGCTTTGGGAGAGCCCCAGGCTGGTGTGAGTGTGAGAAGGAGCCTGCTTTGGGGGGAGAGGCATCATCAGACCCTGGATGTGGTCATCCCTGGGGACCATAACATGTCACTTCTAGACCAAGTCATTGAACAAAGTCTGTGACGGTCTTGCATTGGCTGAGCCTGCCTGAGGGGAGGACTCTGTTGCACAGTTTGGGAGAAGCATCCAAACTGTGCTTCCATCTTGTGCCCTGAAGCCCACAAGTGTCTTCAGACCCACTGTGGATTTCTGACACCTGTGGCTCTAAGGACCTCTGGTGGACAGTTTTCACTCCCTCCATCGAGCAGTCACCCTGGGATGTGAAGGAGGAGGATGAGGGGGTTGGGGTGCTAGGGTGTTGAGTTTGTGGGGGACGTATAACCAGGCTGGGGGGAGGGGCAGGCGTGCCAGGTTTTAATCTGGAAAGAACAGTGTGGCAGTAAGGCCACATGTGTGACCACTAATGACCACCTACACCCTCCCTGTTGTTGCTTGAACCACACCTGAACCACACCTGTGGAGTGCGGGGTTGGGGTACAAGTCACAGTGCGAAGTACCCACTGTATGGTGTGAAACGCGGGTCCCCTTCAGAAGTTCCAGCAGTCCTGCCGGTGGGCTTGGAGAAGGTGGGGTTGGCCAGGACCCTTGTACAGTGCAGATCCTATTGGTCATGTCCCTGAAGCCAGCCCTGCCTGTGTCCATGCCCTTGCCAGGTGATGGTGCAGGTCCCTTCCTCCACACTCACATCGGGCTCTGGCATGTGAATGTGGGCAGGTGTGCGAGTATGCTGAGGCCTTCAGAGTTCTGGGTGTCCTTGCTCTCTTGCACTTCTGACATCACCACGGCCAACGCACTGGTGCGAGGTGCATGGAGGATCCGGTGACCCCCAGCCAACCTTGAGATGCGTGAGCAAGCATAAATGATCATCATTTTCAGGCACTGAATTTTGGAATGACTTGTTATGCAGCATTATTAAGGCAATGGCTCACTGATACTGCAAGCGTGTGCTACTTATGTAAGAGGGACAATCTTTTTTTAAAAAGCGATTGTGTCCTCTCTACACATCAGCTGTTTGCTGACTCTACAAATTTATAAATAGATAGTTTCAAACTCTGTCCCAATTTCTGTGACCTCAGAGGAGGCTACTAAATGCATTAATGTACCAGAACCGAGAGAAAGACCCACGTCGCTTTGGATCAAATGTTTGTCATGCATCAGCTGCTGGGAAGGATAGTGAAGACAGTCGTTTCCTCTGATTCCCTGCGCTCCCTGCTGTGGGTGCGGTCCTTCCTGTGGGGCTCTGGAGGGAGCAGCGAATTTTAATTGCGACACATAACACAGTGAAAAGGGACACATAAACTTAGTGGCAGTTGTGTGCAATGCTGTAGAGACACCATCCTTGACTCAGAAATTTTCCAAATCAGAGTTCTGTGTTGGCTGGCGGATTTCTGAAGTATGCTGAGGATCAGAGCCACTTCTGTTTCCTGAGTGACCGCTGTTGCCTGTAAAAGAACGAACCCTCCCAACAACCCTACAAGGTGATCATGATCGAAAATCCCACCTGGTAGACGAGGAAGTCAGGGCATAGAGAGGTTTACCTCCTACGGGGGTCTCATGTTTCTTGAATCCATAGAGCTAGGGTCTGAAGACAAGTCGGACCAGAGTCCATATTTTTCGTTACAGAATAGGGGAAATTGTTGGTTCTCTGGAACATGCTCCTTGCGGACCACCACTCAGGTAACATCGCTATCTAAAGGGAAGATATGAGCTCCCAAAGCCACAGGGGCCACAGGGACCATCACGTTGCTGGCTCGCCACGATGGGGCCCAGTGGATTCCTCCAAGGCTCTTTCCTATTTCCATTTACCTTCTTGGGAAGATAGTTCACCCCAGAGGGAATGTTTGAAGAGAAGTAAAAATATCCTAGAACAACACTTGCAACTAGTTCAGAAAGTGTGTCTCATGTATAATGTATTTTCATTCTCTTTCTGTGGCCAACTCCTTATTAGTCAGAGGGAAAGATGGAATGCTTTACTCACTGTGTGAACTGTAGTGCTGAACCAGAAGCCGGGCAGTCGGTGGGCAGGAGGCCTGTCCCCACTTTACTCCCCCACAAGGCCACAGCCGGACCAGCAGATGACCCTACAACAGCCCTGGCTCATTAGGCCCATAGCTGGTTGGCCTGTCTTTAATGGTTCTTTATTCCGTGATAACAGAGGATCAAGCAAGTTTACAGCAAGTGCAG